ATTCATTTGCACAAATCTTTAGGTAAGGTCTGGAAGTTTTAAAATGATAAAAAGTACCTCAATTATTCAGGGAATTCCAAGAGTTATTGCTCAGGAAACTACCTAAAGTTACATACCTTGCATTAGATGAACTCTGAGCTAGTTTGTGGTTAACAAATGTCTTTGTCACAAAGGGGATTTGCAAAGACTTAATCACTGTATCAAACTGGGCCTCAGTTTTTTGGTTTGTTTTTTTTTAATTATTAACAACATATACATCTATGATGCCCTCTAACTAGAAAACTTATGTCATTAGCTATTTACAAGCTGTTAGAAACTATAACTAGAAGTCATCAGAAAGTTATTTAGAAAATTTCTAACTTAATAGAAGAAATTGATTAATAGAAAAATGTGGTAAACAACCTCTAGACACTGGCATTGCATCGTGTGCTATGGTACAGAAATTGTAACTCATAAATAGAAATTAATATGGATATAAAATCACAAGAGGCATCTCACTTAAAATAAAATGGCTGAACTAATGTTAAAGCTTAATATAATCTTCCACCAGATTCAAACTCTGTTGCTTAGGAACCAACCCTATTATTAAGGCTTTGTAGTTAGGCTAAGACTGTGACTTTGTAACCAAACCTTATCAAAAACTTTATGTTAAACCTCCCCCAGGAGATCTTATGCTCTAGGAGAGGTAATGTTTAACAACCTGTTACCTACAGTATTGCCATGCCAATGTCATGCCATTGGTTGGTGAAGTTCATGAGACCCCCCTCCCAACCCCGAAACCACGTAACTTGCAATTATGTCCTTTGGCCAATTAATGTATTCCAGCTGTATTAATGTAACCAATCATGTAAAAATCATGCTTTGCTTTGTCCCACCCTTGATTGACCTCAATCACTGTAAACCAATCAGAATACTGTGTTTGTATTTCCTTATACAGTACTATAACTATGGGTGATTTGTAACCTTCCCTTTGCGTTTTCATGAGCTTCAGACCTTGAGACTTTCACATTCCCTCATTCTAATGGTATCTTAGCTTCAATAACCCAAAAACCAAAACCAAACCCATTGCTGTCGAGTCGATTCCCACTCATAGCGACCCTATAGGACAGAGTAGAACTGCCCCATAGGGTTTTCAAGGAGTGGTTGGTGGATTTGAACTGAGACCTTTTTGTTAGCAACCAAATGCTTGACTACTATGCCACCAGGGCTCCTAGCTTTAATAAATCTCTATGATTTTACTCCAATAGAGTTGGACAGTCTACAACAGGGTTTTCTAAATTGGAAATTTAAAAAAATTGAAGTTTGTTGCAATGATGTGACATATAGTTAAACTTCACTAAGTTGACTTGACGTGTACACGATACGATAGAAACCTCCCTAAACTGATTTGGCACATACATGATTTGAGAAAGGAATTATGATATAATATTATGTGTCTGTAAGGTGGCCTTGAGACACTAGGCAAGTCATTAGAAAAAAAAAACAACTGTTTCCATCGAGTCAATTCCAACTCATAGCAACCCTACAGAACAGAGTAGAACTGCCCCTTAGGGCTTCCAAGGATCGACTGGTGGATTTGAACAGCCAGATCTTTTGGTTAACAGCTGAGCTCTTAACCACCATGCCACCAGGGCTCTGGTAAATCATAAACAACCCCCTAATCTTTGACCTTGAAGAAAAAAAAAGGTGACTGTCATGTATTGAATTGTGTTCCCCAAAAATGTGGGTCAATTTGGCTAGGCCAAAATTCCCACTATTGTGTGGTTGTCCACCATTTTGTGATCTGATGTGATTTTCCTATGTGTTGTAAATCCTACTTTTATAATGTTAACAGGGTAGGATTAGAGGGATTATGTTAATAAGGCAGGACTCAATCTACAAAATTAGGTTGCGTCTTAAATCAATTTCTTCTGAGATATAAAAGACAGAAGCAAGCAGAGAGACAAAGGGACCTCATACCACCAAGAAACAAGAGCCAGCAGAATAGTGCGTCCTTTGGACCCGGGGGTCCCTGTGCTGAGAATCTCCTAGACCAGGGGAATATGGATGACAAGGACCTTCCTCCAGAGCCAACAGAGAGAAAAAGCTCTTCCCTGGAGCTGGCACCCTGAATTGAGACTTCTAGCCTCCTAGACTGTGAGAGAATAAATTTTTGTTTGTTAAAGACATCCACTTGTGGTATTTCTGTTATAGCAGCACTAGATGACTGAGACAGTGGCATACTAGACTTTGTTAAACATGACATCAGGAGAAGCCTGTTTCCGGTGTCTCCTTGTCTCCCCAGCCGACTATGAGCCAAAACCACTATCTTGAGGCTGCGGCTCAGAAACTGCAAGCTAGCTGCCCGGGCCAAGCCCATTATCTCCTGTAAGAGAAGGATGGGAGGGGAAGCGGGAGGCAAGTGTCGAAGAGGTATTCCTTTGCCCCTTCACGAGTCTTTTTCTCTCTTCCAGCTGGGCCTGCAGTTCATCAAACAATGCTAAGAACACTTTTGAAGAAACATGTCCATACTGTTTCCAGCTGTTGGTGTTGAAGAACTCTCGAGTGCACCTCAAACCCAAGCCCAAACTGACACCCAAAATACAGAAACTTCTTAACCAAGAAGCAAAAAATTATACACTCAGTTTTAAAGAAGCAAAAATTGTAAAAAAGTACAAAGACTCCAAAAGTGTATTACTGATTACTTGTAAAACATGCAACAGAACAGTTGAACATCATGGTAAAAGTAGAAGCTTTCTGTCATCATTGAAGAGCAATGCTAGCACTCCTGTGACTAAACCCATCGCGAACACACCAGCGAAAAAGACTCCAAGTTCTGCAGACCTAAATCATGACATGTCTAGTTCCAAAGGCAAGAGCCCTGCATGGATTTTCAGAACACCTACATCTGGACAGTCAACAAAGAATATTAAACAGTCATATTCCTCAAACAATATGAGCAAAACAAAGAAACATTTCTCTCAACTAAAAATGTTGCTTAGTCAGCAACAATCTCAAAAGACTCCAAAGATGGACTTCAGAAATTTCTTGTCTTCTCTGTAAAGAATGGATTTGGAAAATAAGAAACGTTCTAATGTAATTTCTGAAAATAAAGATAATCAGAAAAACAATATTTTTTAATTTCATTTGTTCTCTGAATACATGAATATATAGATCCAAGAACAAACTTCTCTGGATGTCCTTCAGTATTTATAGGGAAAAGATATCTCATTGGAATGAATAACTGAAACCTGCTTACCTCCCAGTCAGCGTTAAAAAAAATATGTGAGAGGTCCTTGGAAGTAGTAAAGACATATACAGCTATAGAGTGGTATTCTTATATTCCCTTTCCTTAATGAGAAGTTTTCATTATTTATGTTATTTTCTTTCTAAGGAAATTGAGACCTTTCTAAGAGGGTCTACGAACTTGTGAGGCTTTCTTCTGGGTATGTATAGCCTTATTGCTAATTCAGAAAAAGGATCAAGTGTATGTGTCCTTATGTTCCCACAGTCATCTGTATAACTATATCAGTAAGAGCTGAACATTACTCCTAGTACAAAAGTAAATATCTGGGACATTCTTGATTATATACGATTTAATAAGATAGAGAAATTTTCATTTTTTACAATTTTATTTTGTTCCTTTAGTAATATTTCACCTTAAGTGACATTTTAATTTGCTCTGGTGAAGACTTATTTCTAGGTCTAAAAATTACATCAGACCACAACATAGTAACAGTTTCGCTATCTTAAATCTTTTTTGGAATATAGATACACTTTTTTATTTTTAATGAGAAGCTAGGGTTTATTCAAACTATCTTTTAAAAGGCTCTTTAAATAAATGATTTAGATACTTTGAACTATTAAAAAAAATATGTCATCACCTAGCCCTTATCGTACGAGGCCAAAGTTAAAAATTTGCATATATACACTGGATTTCTGCTCATGCTCTGAGAGAGGAGCAGAGGCAAGAGACCCCTCTCTAGACTCGGACACTCTCCAAGGAGGAGACCTTTCCAGAAACTAAGACTGAGACTCTACCTGCCGATGACCTTGGGCCCTAGCTACACGAGACCTCCACTGAATTTGGGCCATGGCCAAGCCCCCCTCCCAAGAACCTCTCATACAAGCCTGAAGTCTAAAGATTAAGACTCTAACTATTGAACTAACACTCTAATTGTTAATTGTGATTCTTCAGTGCTGAAATGAATGTCTTGAAGCCTTACTTGCATGCCTTACCATGACTACCTTGCAATAAACTAAATCAGTTTATGTATGACACACCTGATCATTTCTTTATATGTAAGATAAAATCCTAATCTCTCTATTGATTATTTAAATTTTAAGATAAAATCTTACGAGACATAAAGTATATCATGTGTTTATTACAGAATGCTTATCTTTCTGTCCTCTGTAGCATGAAAGTTGAATTCAGCCCATTTAGAAGTTTTATATCATTAAAAAATAAGTTGAAAAGAAGAGGACCAGATCATAGCCCCGTGCTGGGTTTGGGTTTGTTGGTCATTTTTAATAGTTTAGTCTGAAGACTATTTCCGTGAAAGTCTTGCCTCCCTTTTCCCGTGGCAGATAACTAACAATGGTTCTCAACCTTGGCTTCACATCAGAATCACTGGGAGTTTAAAAAACTACTGATACCCGGGCCCCACCCCTAGAGATTCTGATGTAATTGGTCTGGGTGTGGCCTGGGCAATGGGATTTTTAAAAGCTCCCCAGGCAATTCCGATGTGCAGACAGAGCTGAGAATCACTGTTGGGTCTGCAGCAGAGCATCCTGAGCATCCCCTCAGTGGGAAATGGAGTCAATCTCCACTTGGGTGGCCTGCCACTGGAATTGACAATCTGGCTGGCACAATGCCAGCAATCTCAGCAATGGCAGCCCTAGACAAGTGCAGATAAATCAGAGTCTCCAATCTTGACTCGTGACAGGATGTCGTCTCTGGGGTACAGTGAGGTCTGGCAGCTCTGATTTCATCACCAAGAGGCCTGGACTGGGGAGATGGGCCTTTAGCTAGACCACAAAAGCCACTGAAAGAGCTGGATGAGGACAAAATGGAGTAGCAAGGTTTGTGCTGCCCGGATCTGATTGGTTGACACATAAACTCAGTTTCCTCATCTGTAAATTAGTGATAATAATACTACCTGCCTCATAAGTAGTTATTAGGAATAAATGCGTTAATGTATGTAAAGCACTACTAAGTGATATATAAGCCTTAGCTATTACTGTTATTGTTTGGAGAGGTGAGGAAATGGGGTACAATAGGAAAATTTTTCACAGACTTCCCCTACCCATGTGGTCTTTTCATATGAGGGTGTTCATAGTTTATCTTTGTTTTTAGTTTCTATTTTAATGAAAATCTTCTGATATTTACAAATGAATTTGTTTCATAAAGTATGTAGTTTTCATGTACTAACATGCTTCATATTCTAGCAAGCTTCTCGTAAATTGTCTTTTCCTCCTTTGGAGCATCAACAAGACATTGGGATTTATATTGGGACTTGTCATGTTGCGGGTAGTAGCTCTTAACATGTTGGGGGCATGGAGTGATGTTTGGGAGGGGTCATAGCGCTCTCTCTCTACCAACCAAGTGCTGTGCTTATGCCTATAACCTGAACTCATGGTTTGGCTTGTTGGAAAACAGACACTTGGGAGGCAGAATCTTTGGGGACAAGGACAGCTGGGTGTGGCACTTACTTCCTACTCTGTCTGAAATCACTGGTTTATCTAGCCTGAATAGAGAGAGAGAGTCAAGAAGACCACGTATTTTTGTCCAGGGATCCTGAGGCAGGCCACTGGCCCCGCCAAGGAAACCCAAGCCCATTGCTGTCAAGTCGATTCCAACTTATAGTAACCCTATAGGACAGAACAGAACTGCCCCCTTAGGGTTTCCGTCTTTACAGAAACAGACTGCCATATCTTTATCCCGTGGAGCGGCTGGTGGGTTCTAACCACCTTTTACTTTTCAGTTAGCAGCCAAGCGCTTAACCACTGTGCAACCAGGGCTCCTTTGGGCTGCTGGGCAGGTCTGTTCTATTACCAAATCCCAAAGGGGCATAGGCGGGAACCTCACAAACACACTGGCTCCTCCTAGGCCCCTTCACATGTTGACTCTTCACATATCAAACTTGGCGCTCAGGTGCAAGCAACTCAACCTGCTGACAGGATTAAACAAAAGTCTTCTGCCCTAGTCCAGCAATCCCATTTCGAAGGAATAAGGCCCTGAAACTGTCAACAATTTTGGTCAAAAGCAACTTATAGAAAGATAAAAATACTAAATCAGAATAAGAAAGACAGCAGACTATTTTCTAACCTCCTGGAGAACTGGACGTTTTTTGAAATGATTTGTTGTACCTGAAATCCAAATTCTGAAATCAAGCTACTTGAGCACATCAAAAGCAGAGCAGTATTGGTGTCTTTTATATGCCAGTCAGTGATAGATGCTTCACATAGGCTGAATCATTTTAAAGCCTCTAAACACAACCATCTTCATTGTTATTTTTCTGGACAAAGAAGCTCGTAAAATGAGGTAATACAAATCATGGCTAATAAGTGGATGGGGCTGGAAGACCATTCTGAATGTCTATAGAGTTTAAGTCCTGAGCGGTGACAATTTATCTGTTTACCAACAGCTGGGCTGTCTTAATGGGAATAAAATGACTAAATATCTTTTTTAAAATATAGGTTTGATAGAAAAATTAGAAAATGTATATAAGCAAAAGGAAAAAGTAATTATACATAATCTCCCATCCAAAGTTACATTTTGGTGTTATATTTGCAAACATCAATATATTTACTTATTTTTGATATTTGACAATACTGTATATAGCGAGCCTTCTTCTAGGTCAATAAATGTAGATTTGTATCATCTACAGTTGGCTGGATACTATTTCAGTATGTATATATAGATATCTCATAAATTATTCATCCAATTCCCCTATCATTAGACATTTAGGTTGCTTTGACTTTTTAGTTATTATGAACAGTGCTTCAATACATATCTTGGTACATTTTTGGATACTTTTATTATTTTTTCCTTAGGGAAAATTCCTAAAAGTGCAATTGCAAGGTCAAAGGGAATGAACTTTTTTTTTAATCCATTCATTCATTTATTCAATCATTCAAGAAACATTAATTGAGTATTTAATACAAGCCTGGAAATGGCTTATCTATTCCAATTTAATGTGATTTTTTAGACTTCTCTGGATCTTAGCCATATATATATATACATACACACATATATGAAAAAAAGCCATTGCTATTGAGTCAATTCCGACTCATAACAACTCTGTAGGACAGAGTAGAACTGCCCCATAGGGTTTCCAAGGAGTGGCTGGTGGATTCGAACTGGTGACCTTCAGCTTAGTAGCCGAGTTCTTAACCACTAAGCCACCAGGGCTCCATATACATGTATATACATATCTTTGTTTTTATTGTGGTGAAAATAAAATAACAAAACATACACCAATTCAACAATTTCTACATGTATATTGATTACATTCTTCAAGTTGTGATCCTTTTCCCGATTATTCCAAAACCATTAACGTAAACTCAGCGGAATGCAAAATTTTTTTAAAAACTGTTAAATTCAAGTATATCATATATATGGAAAAAGTGCACAAAATAAAAGTGGACCATTTGATCAGATACCACATAGAGAACACACCTGTGTAAATATCAGCCAGATCAAGGAAATAGAAAAATATCAACATCCAGAAGCTCTCGCATGCATCTTTACTGGCCTCACCTCTCCAGAAGTGACCATTCTTCTGACTTGTTACATCATAGATCTATTTTGACTGTGTTTTGGCTTTGTATAAATGGAAGCAGACAGTGTATGCTCATTTGAGTCTGAGTTCTTTTACTCAATATTATATTTGTTAATTTATTCATGTTGTAAGTGTAGTGGTAGTTCATTCATTTTCATTGCTGTAGTTTTTGGTAAACTTCAATATTGAATTTTTAAACAGTGAACCCTCATATGCAGCCATTACATCAAAAGTCTCCTTGTGCCCAGTCCTTCTCATTACTTCCTCCTCAAACCCGTT